GAAATTTTTCACATGCATGCCTTGCTATATCAGTTGTCAACGTTTAAAAAATGCGGCGTAAGTGTGGAGTTGGCTGTAAAAAAAACTCAAATTTTATGTTGTGAAATAATGAAATTACTTTCCCAACAACCAGATAGTTAAAATGAACGCAATCGGGCTGTAATTGTATCTAAAATCGTGGTACCCTGTGCTTCCACAACCACACCGTCCAGTCAATTTAATGATATGTTTTTAGGATTGGGCCTTAGGAACGTTGCGGAATCATTTAGGTTACGTGTGAATTCATCCCACATATGCAGATGAACTTGCTCAGGTCTGCTTATGATTTCCGAAGCAGTGCTTGTTTGGTGTTTTTATTGATGACGGCGCTGATTTCTGACTTAAACTCTGTGACTCTGTTACCAACTCCTAAATTTGCTTAAATGTACCTCTTAGCTGCCTTCTAGAGCACAGTGTTGATTGGATGCTTTCAATCTGTCCAGCACTTGTAACAGACTACCACACCTACCTTAGTTGAAAGACAGCGGCCGGCGAAACGATTCATTTTTCCACCCTTTTGACTGCATGTCAGATATACTACGCTCCTTTTCGGGTGTCGCGTAGTTCATGACCTATATAAATTCCATGGTTCACGCCCTTTTGATCTTTGCTTGACATACACCGACGTTGTTGACGACCGCATGTCTTGTGTACAACTGAGAGACAGATCTCCTTGTTGAAATAGGTTCGGACACGGTTCTACTACCTATGACTTCATCCATTGTGCGGATTTTGAAATTACGGAAGTAACAAGAGCGCTAACTATTTTGTGTGAGTCAATGGTTTCGTCCATAATTCCCTTCCCTTCCCCGGGACAGTAGATGTTGCCGCGCTTCGTACGTTAACCCTCCATAATTCGTTTGTCACTTCAAATCGTTGAACTGTCTTCATCAAAGTGCTCTTGTTCTGTCACATTGTGTGCGTCATCAACTACAGTTAGTCCCAGAAGTCCTGTCCCTTTTTACTCTGTTACTCGGGGACCAAGGGTCACGCCTTCGTGTTAGAGGAGAGCGTACTAAATTGCCAACTGTCCAATGGTAGATATTGGTCTCTCGCAAAATGTCCCTCACCAGGTCACATGGGTGTGAACCACCGGAGTGATGGCCGTATGCCTGCATTTGGGTACAAGTGTACTTGCCAGTCTCGTCCATCGTGCAAACGCTGGATGGGCGCGGATCGTTGAGTTGAAGTCAACCTACGGCACGCCACAGGGCAAGTTCACCGATCGATGCATACCGTGTTTCGGGCTGGTTGAAACGAAGACAGGCTTGCATAATAACGACAGCAGTGCACCAGTACCAGCCTACTGCAGTAAAATTGTGATGGCGCTTGAAGATGCCTAACTGGCCTTGGCAAGGAGTGTTCAATAGGTGCTCATTGTTGAGTGTTCAATAGGTGCTCATTGTTATCCTAGCTAATGACATAAGGGTTATTGGCAACGCTCTTGTAGACTGAAATTTAGCTTCCAACAACCCACCTTAGCAAAAGAGGTATTCCTTTTAGTTACGCTTTGCACATATGAAATGTAACGTTGTGAGAGGAGTCTTGAAAAGCTATGCCGCCTAAAGACTACTCGCTGCCGCATAGCCTATTCTCCCGTCATAGTATTGATCGCAATTGCCGCATTAACATCCTCTCTCTGTGAGTGTGCTAGCTGTGGAATGTCATTCACTGGTACCTAATGGCCAACACTGCACTAACGAATAAATATCAGACGCTGTGGTTACGTCTTTCGTGTGTATGCCCTCCCGATCATTTCATTGCATGACCCCACTCTGTTTGATCACGCGCAAAACCATGAAAAACACGTATCGACATTGTGAACCAAGTTGCACAGAGGTGGTACGTCTAAGTGATGGATAATGCTGCCAATAATTCGTCGGGGTAGAATCAATGCACTTCTGACCTTATCCTCTTGTTTGCCAAGTAGTGCAATTACTATCTAGGAGTAGTAGGCGGAGTTGAATGGTATAGGTAGAAATTCATCACATCTAAACTCACTCAGACAGACGTCACACGCCCGGAAAAACACTGTACGCGCGTTTCATCCTTTCGGGAATCGTCAGCAGTGCGAGTTCCATCGGACCCTGGTAAGGCTCGAACCCGCAACTCGACTGTTGCCCGTCCGCGGTTGATCTGCCAACTACTTTGTTTGGAGCTTAGAAAATAATATCATTACGCTTTCTGTCTTGAGACAGCTTCTGGCCACCTACGGAAGTGACTTATTCTGTCAGAGCCCACGAGATCTATACAGCTCCAACACAGCCGTCGTTGGGCTATGTGGTGCAACTCAATTCTGGTCTCTGTATGTGCTCCGCTGCTTCGGATCACTTCATATTACCGCTATGTTAGTTTGTTTCACTATTCATTCACGTGGGTTGCTTTGCCTACTTAGATGACTGCATTATATCTGGTGGTGGAATCATTGAAGGAACCTTTGTGCCTATTAAATACGTGTTGTCCAAATAAGCATTGGCGTCTTAGGACCCTGCGTAACACCGGTTACTCATTTAAAAACGACGCAGAGCAGCCAGTGCTGCCGCATTGTCTCAGCGACTTTATCATTATGAGTTGAACACCTTATGTCACTAGATATCGCTGATATCAGCGACGCATTGCTGCTTTCTGATAAGACCATCAGTTAGATATTTCTAGCGTTTAGTAACCAGCCGACGGGTTTCACATCATGCTTTTTTACACGACTGCACCTAGTGACCAAAGTTGGACCCGGGGAATGGAGACCAAGGTTAAAGGTCGATCGAGTTCTAAAAGGGCTAATCGAAAACCAATCAGTACTGTTGATTCTCACTCCCCGACTGAGCCAACCGCATCGGTAGATCTCTTGCGTGTTCTACTCCTCTTCCAATTGTTGTCTCTCCAACCTGACTATTCACATCCGCTTTTCTCTTACTCCCGCATTCCCGGTTTCTCCTCATCCTAGATTTTGTTCTCTTATAGATGTGCGATTTGCTAACTTGATCCACCTCACTTGCGTTTGGGATCGAACTTGGCGGACATAAAAATGACCTGCACACCTTTTGTTCCCTGTTCAATGGTTTGTTTATTCGAGCCTTCATCTGACTCTCATTCCTCTTTTTCAGAGCCAGTACTCGCTCCGACGCGCTCAACTCTCCTACCGTGGTCTTGTACAAATTCACGAGAAAAGTGGCTGGTACACTCCTCCACAAGCTGATGGCTAATTTCTGTCTGTTATCCATTTGAGTCAAACTTCTCAGAGCACGTGGTTATGCATCTCAGCATTTCACGCCACTGAGTGTAACAATACTCACTCTTCTCTCGCATAGCGCGAGTTCACTGGTCGTTACGCGTTCCGAAGTACGCTCAATCGTTCGATTTATTCCCGCTTTCCAAGCACCACTACTGTCCCTCAATCTGTGTGTGGATGCTCGACTTTGTTTCGTCGCATTTTACTCCAATCATTATCTTTCTCATCTCCTTGCCATTCCTGAGAGATTGTGTTCCATCCCTCCGACTGTGTCACTCGATTCGCAGTCCGGTGCATTCTTGTTTGTTTCACCTACCACTTCGCTTGTTGTCATCTGTTTGACAAACACATCACTCCCGTAGAGTGTATCTACTTCCAAGGCTGTATTCACTTCTTTGATATCACATGTCGATATTTCCTGTTAGCCCTTCCTCTACATTTTGCGTTGCTTATATGTGTCATGGCTCACTTGCACCTATCCTGTGTATTTCCTCTAACGGTCCGTGTTAAACTTTGTTGGTTCTCTCCTCTTCAGTGCATCCTTGCACATATATTTGATCGATATTCGTTCTCATTCATTGTTTTTATCATAAACCACTTCGCTCCGTCTGCTTCATACTGTTTTTGCCGGATGTACGAACATCGTACTCCTCCTCTCTTTCATTTCTCATTCGCTTAATCAGCGAGTCTTTGCATCCATTGTGATTGTTTGATTCACTGTGCAGTTGTCATTATTGTTATCACATCCGCTGTTATTGTTTTCCAATTGACCGAAAACATTTGGCACTCGGGTTTCCTTCTTCATTTCTAATCTACTCAATCGGATGATCCTCCGCATTCTTTCCAATTTTCCCTGCGATGTGACCCTCCTTGTCGAGTGTCATGCCTTCATCTAAATCAAGATTGTCGCATTATTATAGCGTTACTGTGGTTTCACATTCCATGGACAACTCAGTGATGGCCATCGCTGGTACATTTGAAATAACCAGCTGTTGCCTTTCGGGCGACCGTCTTCTTCACGTTCGGTGACAGTCATCTCATCACGTTTCCTCCATCCTAACCGTAGACAGTTACGAGACCACTATCCATCTACCACACATCCAGTGCAAACTTAGGAAAATGGGGTTTGGCGATAGTCAAATGGGTGTTGTTTCGGAGCCAGAAATCACCCCACACATACACAAGCGCATGTCACCTGTTGATTAGTCTTCGTGACGATGCCCCAACGCCATAACGAGACCCGAAGACTGATGATTCAGCGCTCACCGCATACATATTAGTGGGTATTTGATCCTTTCCTTGTTAGTGTCTCACGCAAGGCTATGGCTAGGTTGGGATCTCGTCCTTAATGAGTCCGCAATGTCTGCTTAACACACATGGGGACGATGTCCCACTCATTGCTAGTAACCATTAGAACTACGCAATAATGGAGCCAGACCCCGCTTGTTTACACACCGAGCTTGACGCGCACGAATGCGCCAGCTGTGCAACACATCACACAACCAACCATTCTGAAATACCTCGTCGATGCATTGCAACTAACGTTTCACAGTCAATTCTCACATCACTGTGGGGCTGAAGACCTAACTGTTGGCATGCTCCTGACCTGAGGAATCTGGACGCTGCTGCAATCCTGCGTTAAAATACCCTCACTGTTTGGTTATATCTCATTGATAACTAGGTTTAGCTTACACAGGGAGAGGATTTCACTAGTCCTTACTTAAGTGCACCGTATTCAATGCCCCTTCGGATCTCGTCTCAGGTGATGTTCTCGGACGCGTCCAGACAAACGTTTCTCGTTGCGGCCTATGTAACACAGAAAGTGGTGACATCCACAGCCAGTCTATTATTCCGCTGGAGGTGTATTATGAGCGTGAATGTGAGGAGAATGCGGAACTTTGCGGCGCCCACAGGTGCAAAATGACCGCCGCACTTAATCGTTCGCTAACGTGCTCGGAGTTGCCGTACCCTTTGAATGGCAATGATAAGTACGAAGCTAGAGCAATAAGTTTCCGGGTGCATAAAAAGTTTACTTTTTTACAACAAAATAAGCATACCTTTTCTCGACGTACTCTCCACCAGCGTTCGTGCACAGTTCCATGTGCACAAAGCATTTGGAGAAGCAAGTAGACCATGCCGAAGCGGGTAACCTTTCAAGCAGCTCAATATAGGCTTCTAGGCAGTTGGAGACTCGTAGTGCATTACACGCATTATGTGCTTGACATTAGGGAACATAAAAAGTCACACGAAGTGAGGTCTGGATTGTTGGATGGGTGACCAGCCTCCTGCATGAGTTCTCGAGCCAGAAAATCTAAGGCGACATGGGACCTGTGTGTAGGTGTGTTGTCATGATGCAGCAAGGTCCCACGTGCTCGAGTCCTTGTACGACGCCTAGCTACAGCTTCCAGTACTTGCGGTAGACAGTGGGTGGTATATCAGTCTCCGGTGACTGTGCGTTGCCTTACGAGCGGTACTGTCACGAACACAGCCGCTATCTGCTTGGCCACACTGGGTTCACGCCAGAATTTCTGAGGTGGCGCCCCACCAACAGCCGTCCACTGAGCCGATTGTCTTTTGGTCTATGGGTCGAAACTGTGCACTCAGGTCTCATCACCACTGAGGATCTCCCAAACAGCACCGAAACGCCCACCATCGAACTTAGCAAGCAGGGTGCGGCACCAATTCACCCAAGCAACTTTCTGATCCTCACTGAGCTGATGGGGTACCCAGTGTGCTCAAACTTTTCTGAGGCCGAGGTTCTCATGTAGAATGGTGCGGATTGATCCCGATGAGATCCCAATGGCTTGCCCCAGCTGTACTACAGTGAGCTGCGCGTCCTCTTCCAGCATCGCTTGCACAGCAGCAATGTTGTCGGCGGTGATGGCTGTGATGGTAGCTTACGTGCCAAACCGCCAGCCAACAGCGCGAACTGGTTTCCACCAATCGGCAACACAATCGGAGATCGCAATCAGTTCGCGGCACCGCCAACCAGTGGCGCACACAAGCTACCAATCGGACGAACAGACCAACGGCTCGGCAAAGCGTCTGGCAAACAAGCGTGGTCCGAATATCCAATCAAAACCCGAGACGGCTCGCAAACGAGTAAGCGACGTTAAGGGGATCGAGGACTTGCATCAGACGCCTGACCAATCAGCGTCACGTCAATCCGGTACGCGAACGACCGTCCATAGGCCAGAAAGAGCAGGCACTGAACCGAAACCCATCGGCCGATTGGTTTTTGATCGTCAAGACACAGCATGGGGAACCAATTGTAGCAAATGCCATGGACGAATTACGACCGAACGATTGGAGGCGAAACGCCCAGGATCAAAGGACACTGGCAAATGGAGACAAATGCATGAAAGTGTAGTAGCCGAATAGAAACGGGCGCAGAAAATGGTCATATCTGATATAAAAAGAAAGCAATTCTCGCCAATAAAGATTTTCGTGTCGCCGCCACCTGTCGTTCTTTCTGCCGGAGGGCCGCACGTTTTACATGGCGACAGAGGACAAGAAGACACGCCGAACCCCGCATGCGTTTGGTGGACAACCAACGATTCCGCTGCCAGCTCCGTTGCAAATGACCGAGAGTTCGTTGCCGGAGAATTGGAGAATATGGAAGGCGAAGTGGCTAGACTTTGTAACACTGACTCAGTTGGATTCTCAGCCAATGGCCTATCAACTGGCGATGTTCAGGCATGCCATTGGAGACGAAGCCAGGCGGACGCTGCAAACGTTGGATCTCAGCGATGGAACTCAGGAGATGGAGCTGGATGAAGTAATACGCAGATTCGGCGAGTTTTGCGAAGGTTACACAAACGAAACTTACCAAAGGTATCTGTTTTTCAGCCGAAATCGCCTGCCGGGTGAATCAATCGACGCATACATCACGGAGCTGAAAATTCTGGCGCGGGATTGCAATTTTTGCACCTGTTTACGAGATTCGCTGATCCGCGATCGAATTATAATTGGCATAAAGAATGAGGAACTTTCCAGACGCCTTTTGCGACAGCGAAACCTGTCTTTGGAACATTGCATCGATATCTGTTTTAGCGAATCAAGGACGGCTCAACAGTTTCAGCAGCTCAAGATGGAGTCCACGACGGATCTGTTTGCAGTATCCCGAGGCCGAGAAATGGTATCGAAGTCATCGAGCGCGAATCAACCCAAATGCCAGTTTTGCGGCCGCTCACACCCAAGGCGCAAAGAGGATTGTCCAGCATGGGGCCGAACCTGTATGAAGTGTGCGAAGAAGAACCACTTTGCACGTTGTTGTCAGGCAACCAAAGTCGACTCAGTCGGGCAGGACGATCAGGAAGAGCCGCAGGAACTGGCTATTAACAACATGACAGGACGTGAGAGACCAGTCTGTGTATTCGCAACGTTGCTTATTCAAGGGCGTCCGGTGCGATTCCAATTGGATTCAGGAGCAAGCGTGAACATACTTCCTCACAAATACTGTCCCGATGCAGAATACCGCCAAATACAGACACAGCTCAGAATGTGGAACGGATCAAAGTTACAACCGAAGGGCTGCGTTACCATGAAGGCCATAAACCCGAAGGATGGCTCCGAGCATTTACTTGATTTTCTCCTGGTATCAGGAGATTTAATGCCCATCCTGGGCCTTGATTCCATTCAGAGTTTGGGTTTTGTTTCTTTTAATCATGATCGTTTTGTTCACTCGTGCGAAGTCGGTACAGAGATCGTAGACAACTATCCCAGTGTGTTTGATGGTACCGTGGGAAAATTCCAAGGCGTAGCTCACCTGTCGTTAAACGAGTCCGCTAGACCAGTAGCACTACCAGCGAGAAAAGTACCTATCGCTTTGCGTGAGAAGTTCTTAGACGAGTTGCAGCGTTTGATCAGTTTAGGTGTGATTGCCAAGGTCGATGAGCCAACCGATTGGGTCAGTCAAGTCGCGATAATCACCAAGAAGTCAGGCGATTTGCGTGTGTGCATCGACCCTAAGCCGCTCAACGCCGCACTCAGGAGAGAGTATTTTACACTACCAACGCTAGATGACGTCTTACCCGAGTTGTCCAAGGCCAGATTGTTCACGAAGGTCGACCTCGCTTCCGCTTTCTGGCACGTCCAGCTTGACGAAGAGTCCAGTTATTTAACCACGTTCGGAACGCCATTTGGACGGTTTCGGTGGTTGCGCTTACCATTCGGTTTGAAAGTGTCCAGTGAAATTTTTCAGAAACGATTAATGCAGGCCCTAGACGATCTACCCGGAGCTATTTGTGTAGCAGACGATGTAGTGGTTTTTGGGGCGACTCTGGAAGAGCACGACCGTAACCTGAGCAGATTTCTAGAACGCTGTAAAGACAAGAATATCAGATTGAAACGTGAGAAAATTGAGTTACGAAAAACAGAGCTGGTGTTCCACGGACATGTTTTGAGCGCAGAAGGTCTAAAGCCAGATCCGGAGAAAGTTAGAGCCATAAAAGAGATGCCACCTCCGACAGATGTTAAAGCCGTGAGCAGACTAAACGGGATGGTGAATTACCTCAGCCGCTTCCTTCCACGACTAGCCGAAGTAATGGTTCCTATCCGAAAACTTACACATAAGGGCGAGAGCTGGCAGTGGAACACAGAACAGGAGGAGGCTTTCCAGAACATCAAACAACTGATCGCGTGCGCCCCTGTCCTAGCGTATTACGATCCGTCACTTCCCCTTGAGATCCAGTGTGACAGCAGCCAATTCGGTATCGGTGCCGTGCTAATGCAGAACGGGAAGCCCATCGATTTTCGCAGTCGGACACTAACGGAATCCGAGCGCCGTTATGCACAGATTGAAAAGGAGATGCTAGCATTGGTTTATGCCGTAGAGCGTTTCAACGATTACACTTTTGGTCGCCGGACCACTGTATTTACCGATCACAAGCCTCTGGTATCAATAGCCAATAAACCACTGCACGTCGTCCCACGCCGCTTACAACGAATGCTCATTCGGCTCCAGAAGTACGACCTAGACATCGTCTACCAACCGGGGTCGAGGATGTACATTGCAGACACACTGTCTAGGGCATATCTTTCCGATGTGACCGCAACGCAAGAAGACCAAGACATTGTCCATGTCACTCAGCTATTGGCCGTCACAGAGGAGCGTTTCCAGCAACTACTACGCCACACCGAAGCAGACGAGCTGTGTAATCGGCTCAAGGAAACGATACTGAAAGGGTGGCCCGATAGTAAAAACAAGCTGCCAAAGGAGTTGACTCCCTTCTTTAACTTTCGGGATGAACTTGTCACACAGGATGGGCTAATCTTCAAAGGCAACCGTATACTCGTTCCAAAGGCAATGCAACGACCCATGCTGGAGCTGATACACGGAAGTCATTCCGGAGTCAATGCTTGCGTGGCGAGAGCTCGAGAGCTAATGTTTTGGCCTGGAATGACTAGTCAGATACGGGATCACGTTTCAAACTGCTTAGCCTGTCGAGCACATGATGTCCGCCAGCCGAAGGAGCCTATGATGCTTCGTGAGGTCCCGGAAAGGCCGTGGCAGAAAGTCGCCCTAGACATCTTTGCACATGACGGAAAGAATTACCTGATCGCTGTCGATTACTTTAGCGACTATTTCGAGATTGATGCTCTCACGTCTACTAGCACACAGGCCGTGATAAACAAGCTACGATCGCAGTTTGCGCGACATGGGATACCGGAAGAGGTAGTGTCCGACAATGGCCCCCAATTCAACAGCGCCGAATTTCGGAGTTTCAGCGAAAAGTGGGATTTCCTTCATCGTTTAACCAGCCCTTACCACAGTCAGTCAAATGGAAAAGCTGAGTCAGCCGTGA